GGTGACGCTTGGCCCATTCAACACGATTCCGCTTATGAGTCTCCGTTAACATTGGCGTAGTTAAAGGCAGATTTTTTTATATCCTTGTGACTTCAAATGTCTGCCAACTATACGATACGACACATCAAAATCACGGTTATTAAGTTTAGTGGCAAGAGAATGTAATGATAATGACGAATGGATTGGCCAATAGTTTTTGCTATATTGACTGTTATTTTCTTTTGACGACCATTACCACCTCTATGCTTCAAAGTGCTAGTTTTTTTGAGCTTTCCACATTATATCGTACAGTAGAGACAGGCAACTGGGTAGTTCAGGTGCAGAACGGGTGTCTTCGTTCCAATAATGTAATAAGCTGTGCATCTTTTGTTCGCGAGTAGTTGGTGACATTTTGATAGCGAATTTTGCGAGAGTTTACTTATGTAAATTATTATTTAACAAGTGTAGTAAATAAAACCGATATTTAACTTTAATTCAGTAAAAAAATGGTATAGATTAAGCTAAAATTGGAGATGTTTATTTATTGTCTAATGAGTTAAGTTTTTTTTGTCACTGAATGTTTAGTTTACTATTGTCAAAGAAATATGAACTAGCACCAAACGAATTTATAACGATGAATTGTCTAATAAAAGAATTTAAAGACAATTTATAAAGCTGGTTGGATAAAAGCAAGTGAAGAATTTCTACAATACGAGAAGAAAAAGTTACGTTGAAATCATTACACAATTCAGGAATTTATAAACGGAATAAAAAAATAAAATATTTTCTAAAGTGAAAGTTGCTGATATTTTTCAAAAATAGATTCAGACTGCTCATAAATGCAGTTATAATATTGAATACAAATGAATGCTTAATGATAACTATATTAATTCAAATTACGAAAAATTGACTTTGGATCAAAAATTATATTCCTGAAAGGTGCCACTACCGGGGAACTTCAAAAATCTATTAGATCGTTCTGCGATATCAAAAACGGCAAAAAGGTGATGATGATGATGACGACGTTTATGGGGAACTGAATTCTTTACATTTTCAGTACTACACCTCTTTAGAATATTCTTAAATAAAAGAACTTGACAATGAGATGAATTACAAAAAACATTCCTTCAAATATAAACAAAAGCTTCCAAATATAAACAAAAAACAATTCAAATGCAATTTACACAAGTCGAATGTTTAAAATCAAAATGGCATTTCAAATGATTTAATACATCAGAACACAACAAGCAACACAACGAGCAACAATACCATTCGTAGTTTACTATAAGCACACGACAACATTCGTGCAATAATAATAAAGACGATATCGTTTCTTTAAAAAAATTTCAATTACATGTACAGGTGTATAAGATACTGCATACATGTTCGTTTAGATGCACAAGATACTGCATACATGTACAGATGCAAGATACTGCATCAACCATTGATGCAATTTAACACAAACCGTACGTTTTGCGGGATGGTTTGCAAATTTAAGAGGTTCTCGGAGTTTGTGTTCTCCCCAAATTTAGAATTTTTATGGACTATCCGAAAGAAAAGACTCATTATAAAAAGATCCCTGTTAAGAATTTTGATAAAATTTTAGATACATGTTTTTATTATTTTCAATCTTTTAAAAAAAACGGTTTTTTTAATAATCTTCTAAATCTTTTTGATTTTTTTTTCTTTTAATGGCTACCGTATTCTCCCGGAAATAAGCACACTCGAGAATAATGAATAAATAAGAGCCACGCATCTCATGTATGAAGTCTACTCAGGAATAATCACCATCTTCATTTGCTGTGTTGATTGAGTATTGCTTATTCTCGGATGAATCCTGGTATATATTCTAGAAATCATATTTTTGAGTCCAAAAAATGGTGTTTATTTCCGGGAGAATACGGTAATTGCTTATCGGGTTCGTGAAACAAGCAGAACAATTTAAAGCCAAATATGGACACTGATCCAATCCTTGAGCTATCTAAGTTACAACCGCAAGAAAAAGTTGGTTAAAGCTGAACGATGATCAAAAGGAGGAATGATTTCACTAAATATGTTAAAAAATTTATGGAGGATGCACATAGTATGCCTGATACCTTCTGCAAGTGTACCAAATCAGATCATTTTTCGAAAAGAATTGTGCACGTGAGATATTTAGTAACGATTGTATACATTGCTCGTGTTCTGGAAACAATTGTGTGGCGCATATATGCAGAGGCTTTGGTTTGTGTTTGATTTTACTTATTCGATCTTTATTTCACCATTTGTTCGTGACGCTATACACCGATAGATTGTAATCCATGTATCATGAGACGACTTGTACACCAATGTGCTTGATCAATGTGCTTGATGGCTTTATGATTCGATCAGTGCCGAAGAGAAAACTATGCAACTAATTAGTTTGAGCACAAATAATTCGTTCAAAAAAACGAAAGCATACATAGTTCAATTATCTGCAGGAGGATATAATGCAACTAATATATCAAAAAACAAAGAATGCCAAGAGAAATTAGTATAATCAAAATCATTTGTTCATTAAATAACTCGCGCAAATATAAATAAAAAGCTCTGCTCTCTATAAAATTGAAAAATCAAAAAAAAAATCTCATATAACTCAAAAAATAATCTTATATAACTTTCAAAAAATCAAAAAATAATCTCATTATATAACGAAAATTGAAAAATCCAAAAAAATCTTATAACTTTCAAAAAATCCAAAATTATCTCATTATATAACTTTTCGAATATCGTTTTTTTATAAAAATAAGTTAAAAAAAATTCAAACACCATATGGATCATCTTCAAGGTATGCTTTTCTTATTATAACATTTTTTAAATACACGAATTTATTATAACCATAATCCTCACATAGATATAAATAAAGCCCAAGAGCATCCATTCGGCATAAACCATAATAACGTTCAAATCGCTAGCCAGGCCGTCTTGGATCTGTATGGGAAATTAAGTTGTGCACCAACAGATGATAAACAAATCCGTCTTTTAGCAGCTTTGAAGTGCTTTTTAAGTAAGTTTCATAAATAGAAATTAAATGAATGTTATTGATTATAATTGAACCTAACTTTTTAATCAATTCATAAAATATTAGGTGAGGAATCTCTTCAATTAAACAGCGCACAATAAATAGGTCCTGTTTTTCCTGTTGGCGTTCAAGTAATAAGAATTTATGGTTGCTTCTACTTTGAAAATTTTCTTTTTTTTGGTATCTTTTTTTCAATATTTTGTAGAAACGTTTATGTATACAAATTATAGAATAAGTAGCATACACCATATAAATACGTCGAAATAAAAACAATAAAATTTATCTTTATTTAGTATTTTAATTTCTTGATCTAGGGAGTTTAATCACTAAAGGCAATGAACTACTAATGTTCCACGAATTAAAATTAAGTTACACATTCTATATTAATATTTCATTTATAAGTTCGGAAAAAACTTAAATCGTAGCGGTAGGACAAAACTCGTAATTTGTGCCCACATCAGGCAATGTATTTGCCCTATCTGTGTTAATAGAAACAAAATTGAGATTTGGCTTATAATTTTTTTGGCCATCTTTCTTGATGCAAAGAAATCACAAGTTATCAAGAGCTAAAACAACAATGTCAGATTCTTTGAGGATGATAATTGTTGATTATTATTGGTCAAGTAAAATCGCGATATAAACCGAAGCTCATTGAAACATAGTTATCTTGATATAACAAATGCTTTAAAAATTTTCTCTTAGATTGGATTGAAAAATTAATGGCAAAGTTATCACAATATACACAAAGTCAAATACCAGCAGTGCCTCTGCAAGTGTGAATATATAACAGTATATGGAAGTTAGTTTTAAGTTTCAAATTTTAGTTTTGCTTTTAAGCTTCGGATTTTTGGGCTCAATTGTAACCATATTGAGCAATCGTGTCAGTGCTACAGTATGGTATCTCAATTTCGACCATCGAAATAATTCTGGTCGACGAGCTTTCTATACTCTTCCGCAAACTTGGTATTTTTTGTTATAATAGTTCCTTTCTAGTTTGACTTTGACCAGATGTTCTTTGTATCTCTTCAATAAGTCTTGTGCTTTTTCCTCTTTACGGGCTTTAAATTGCAAGTCGTTACGCAAATGTTGACAGGTATCGAATAAATCGTTTCATGATTTGAATGTATGGGGTTAACTGATGCCATAATTTGTGGAATGCATCAATTTGAGGCGCGCAAATTATTATCTTTTTCTACACCGATCAAAAAGTCACGGTGAACAGATTCATAGCTCATTTCCGCTGGTACGAAAATAATTGATTGAGTTACGCGATTAACATTTCTTATTGTGCTGGATAAGCTATGAACTTCGGTATAATTTAGCAAAAAATCCTTGACAGCTGTAGCCACGTTAATTTCGATGATAATCTCGGTTTTTCATTACGGCATTCTTTTTATATTACCGTGGACTCGCGATAGAAGACCATTCTTGAGCAAATGATTTCTGATATTTTCATAATAATTGCGACAAATATGGGCATCAGTAGATAGTCCTCTTATTGACTCGAATTTGTTTTTGAGATGTCGACTAGTATTGATTGCTCCTTCATCCATAGATCTGAGTTGGGCCATTAAGAAAATGTCTTGTTCGGGCTTATTAAGAGCTTGAAAATCTTCTCGCAATTCAGCAAATTCTTTTTTGGGCATCTTAATCGAACAACCGCAACCACATTCCATTTCCAGAAAATGGTGAGTTCGTTCATAATTGTGTCGTCTACCAGATATATAATTTTTATGCATAGTTTGATGATATTGTGTATTACACATAGGTATCCGTAGATATAAATTTGAAATATATGTATATGAAAATTGTTTATATTTAGATCTACTATGGAATCCAGAAACTATAGGCGAGAACAAGGCGAGAAAAAATTGCTCTTTATATTTCAAACTAAAAAATGCGCAGATTATCAAGGAATATCTGGACCAAGAAAAGATAATTTGTGAGATTTACCAAGAGGAAAGGTCCAAAAAAGCTCTTAAACGGACATTGACAGAATCTTTCCAAGAACCTAGAAAAAAACGAAAATTAGAATAGGATTGGAGGTCGTCTATTTAACGTTAGCCTCAGATATCATATCGTTACATAGAAGGTAATCCTTGTGGGCAGATTGTTGTTTGGCACAGCAAACTGTTATACGGACTAGCGTAATGCAAATGGGGTGGGCCCCACTACAATTTCTGTGCATACTAAATTTTTTCTTTATACGTACTTTTATCTGACCAGCTTATTTTAATATTTTAAGAGCGTCTACATTCAGATGAAGTATTAAATAGAACCACGAAAAATTCTTCATACCAGTTATTTGGAATTCCATGACGAAGATTTCACCCAAATCTTCCTTCTTAAAATGACATTTATTGCGGAAATTATCCATCATATCCTTTACCGACTTCTACAGATACTAATTCAATATCATAATTGCGCTACTTTTGAACATGAAAACATGTTAAATCTATAGGGTCAAAAAAACTTTTAATGCAGAATATGTTAAGTTTGGGAACAAATCTATTAGATGTCGTTTTACAAAAAAAATTCAAGTATCACGTAAGCCATTACCATGTTCACATATTAGCATCTGATCCATCGTGTGAACTTTAGAACATAATTATTTGTTTTTGTGTTCCTCGAGTCTAAACTCAGACTCAAAATTACTTTGGACCCGAAAACCGACTCTGATGAGTTTTAACCTGCTGACTTTATGGAATCAATAATTTTTAATTAGTCAATCAGTCATGCAACTCGAATAACTCTTAATACATGTACATGTACATCAAATTAACACAGCAAGCAATACCGATACAATTCATAATTTGATTGATACAATTTAATATGTGCATTGCCCTGTCTTCACAAATTTAGTTTCGGATTATCTAAAAGCTAATCAAGGAAATGATCTACGAGATACAAATATTTTCGTGGTAGCACGGACAAAACTTATAAAAAGACAACAGAAAAAAATTTTTAGAATAAAATATGTTTTTCAATCTTTTAAGAAAGCCATTTGTCTTAATTGTCTTAATAATCTTTTAATCTTTTTACTTTTTCTTTTTAATGACTAAATTGCTTGTCGGGTTTAGTGAACAAACATAAGCAGAACAGTTAAAACAATTATTAACGCTCCGCGCCAAAGCTTGTCAATTAACTAAACACCAGTTTCTAATTCTGGGCACTAATCAAATTCTTGAGCTATCTACCAGACAACGTCAAAAAAAGTTAGTAAAGCTGTCGCAGGATGCAAAGCTTTTTTAATGATGACTCAAAAGCAGGAAAAGATTTCACAAAATGTGTTAAAGAATTTATGGAGGATGGATGCACATAGTGTGAGGAATATACGCTGAATCACTGATACCTTTCTGGCACTTTCTGAAAGTATACTCAATTAGCTTCAATCAAATCATTTCCGGAAAAGATTATTTTTATGCGCGTAGGATATTTAGTAACGATTGTATTGATAAGATTACATTGTTCGTGTTCTGGAAATAATTGTGCGGTGTGTGTGTATGCTGATGTTTGTTTGGTTTGGTTTTACCCGAAAAATAATTTGCTCGTGACCATCATGATAAGAATTTGTGCTCCAATGTGCTTGATGGATTTATACTTCTCGAGGAGAAAACTATACAGTTTAAACACAACACAAATAATGGCGTTATATAAAGAAAATATCCGAAGTTCAATTAGCTGCAAGTGGATATATAATGCAAATAATAATATATCAACAAAGAAAGGACACCAATAGAAGTTCGTTCATTAAATAAGAATGAGGGCTAATTACTCGCGCAAATATAAAAAGAAAAGGCTCTGTTTCTGTTCTCTCTTTAACATTGCAAAAATCGAAAAAATATCATCGTCTATAACTTCTGAAAAATCAAAAAATATCTCCTTCTATTTAGCTTTCGAAAAAGCAAAAATTATTTCCTTATATAACTTTCGAAAAATCAAAAGTTATTTCCTTATATAACTTTCGAAAAATCAAAAGTTATCTCTTTATTGAAAAATCGAAAAATATAGTTTTTTCAAAACTTTCAAACTCAACCAATATGGCTTATCAAGGTATGCTTTTTTCTTATTGTAAAGTTTTTTGGAAATCCATGGATTTATTATAACCATAATCTTCATATAGATATAAACCAAGGACAGAAACATCCATTTGGTAATAAAGTTCAAACTGCTAGTCAGGCAGTCCTGGACCTGTACAAAAAATTAAGTTGCGCACCAACAGACGATGAACAAATTCGTCTTTTAGCAGCTTTGAAGTGCTTTTTAGGTAAGTTTTCGTAAATAGAAATTAAATGAACGTTTTTGGTTATAATTGAATCTCAAACTTTTTAATCAATGCATAAAGTATTAGACGACGAAGAAGCTTTTCAATTAAACAGTGCGCAATAGGTTCTGTTTTCCTCTTTCGCTCGTGCTGGATGTTTATGGAAATTTAAGTAATAAGAATTTATGGTTGCTTCTACTTTTAACACACCCTTTTTCTTATTCAGGTTCTGTTCTTGTATTTGGCATCTTTCCTTCAAATATTTTGTAGAAGCGTTAATGTATATAAATTATAGAATAAGTAGCATGCGCCATATAATAATTCGAAATAAAAATTTACATCCATAACCTTTATTTGATATTTATTTAATATTAATGAAAATCAATTGCTAAAACAACACAATAGCCAAAACAAATTAAAGATTTCAATTTTTTGACAAAGCAGTGAAAAGAAAGTACATTGACACATCCATAATCAATTTTGACAACTAGCGGTGGCTCACTTCCCTGGTACTTATCACAAGAAACTTCAAGAACAAATTATTGCCAATTTAAACTGAAATTCTTTATTAGAATCGCAACGTTGCCATTATCGTTATACACTTGATCTTCGGTAAATCACCGTGCATTTAAATTTTACTTTGTTCGTTTTTGTCATTCTTTTTCCATTCATACGTCTTTACCACGAAAAGAATTGTCACTAAGCAAACAGTACGTGATACAATCAACCGATTTAAGAAATCAAGTTCACCAGATCCCGTAACGGTAACGACCAAAAATTATATCTGAACGTGATAAACGAAAATTAAAACGAATTATAAAAAAGGATCGTAAGGCACCACTTGAAAAAAATTACTAGTGAACTAACTAAATGCACTTTCCAAAACGCCAATACATTTATAATTATACTCGTAATTATATAAAATCATTGTCATTTGAATCCCATTATGCGATTCATAAACCTCTTCGATAGTTCCAACAGTAAAATATGTGGATTCGGTTATGTTTGGAGATGATTGGAGTTGGACCTTTAATAGATGTTACGTTTTGGCAAAAAATTTAATTCCTTGGATCTATACACTCCTCAGCAAGATGGTGCTTCATGTCATACTTCACATTATACTGGACTCATAACATTCCAATTTGGTATGGGTTACCCAAAGCCCCGATTTAAATCCGATTGAGCATATATGGGACCGTCAAATTAGAAAAGAGAGCCTCTCCTAACTTCCAAAAAAGATTTAATTGATGCAGAATGGTAGATGTTGTACTTAATTTAATTTCCGATAATGTATTACTAATTATACAAATGTTCCACGAATTAACTTCAGTTACACATCATACTATATCGTTAAAGTCAACTTCGGGGAAATTGATGCAATCAAATGACTGACCAGATCTGAAAAGTCGTAGCGGTAGGGTTGTGTCCACCTCGGGCAATGTATTGAACAACTCGAAAGTATTGCATGCAATACCTTTCGAAGTCACTAGAAAGTTTACCCACTTTCCTATCTGGATTAGTAGAAATAAAATTGAGATTTGACTCCTCTATGACTCATATTACATTCTTGATATAATGAACTCGTTCAGTGATAGAAAATAATTTTTTTCTCAACCTCTCTCGATGCAGAGAGATCACAAGTTATCAAGAGCTAAAACAGTATCAGATTCTTGGAAGATGATAACTGCTGATTGTTCTTGATCAAGTAAAATCGCGATATAAAAAACTAGAGCTCACTGAACCATAGATAGCTTTGATATAACGAATGCTTTAAGAATTTCTCTCTTTGAACAACAAGTTTACTCTTGGATTGGGATTGCAAAGTTAATAAAAAAGGTTAGCAAAGTCACATACTGGCGGTGTCGCCGCAAATATGAATTTATCTAACAGAATAACAATGGCGATGGGAATTAGTTTAAAATTTCAAATTTTATTTTGCTTCTAAGCTTAAAATTTTATTACATATTAATCTTGTAATCTTTTATAAGAAAGGAGCCAGACAAGAAAAAAGGGAATATTAAAGCAAATACGAGTGATAACGATAAGGAGAAAGGACAAATCTAAACGTATATGAATATTCTTATCGTTATATTTTTGGGTGAATACGTGGATTAGCAATTGGCTTATTATCTGGTTTATCTTCAACGCCTAATATTATTGATTTATTAAAAAATTAAAAGGGTTAGTTATTCACAAGGAAATAATAATACATGCATTATAATGTTTATTTCGAAAATTACCTAAGAAATATTTTAACGCCTCTAAAAGGTGTGGATGTTTTTCGTCATATTGCGGTGAACTGCTTAACTGTCTGTATAAGTTCAAAACTGGTTTGCTAGCAGTTTCAACCTTATCATAATTAGGACCAAATGGATGCTCTTGTGACTTATTTGGGTCCGTGACGTCCATAACTATATTAGAATTTTTGTTATAATATACGTCTTTAAGAAAAAGAAAAAAAAGCATGCAAACCTTGATAAATAATATTTTTGTAAATTTTTTTAAAATTTATTGAGTGAAAAAACAAAACGATTGTTTATTTTTTGAATTTTTTCACCTAGAGCCTTTTCTTTACCGCTTCGAGTTTATATAGCTCGAGAGGTATAATTTATAGCACATATGGTTATACTAATTACTTGCAATTGGTGATTTATCCCGAACGAATAATTTTATTTTCTATAACCCTTTCCTCAAAAATCTCTCATGATTGGTAATTTAATAATTTTTATTTTCTGTAACTTCAGTCTTTCCTCAAAAATCTTGTATGATTGGTAATTCATCCCGAACGAATAATTTTTATTTTCTGTAGCTTTAGTCTTTCCTCAAAATCTCGCATGATTGGTGATTTATCCAGAACGAATAATTTTATTTTCTATAGCTTCGGTCTTTCCTCAAAAATCTCGCATGATTGGTGATTTATCCCGAACGAATAATTTTTATTTTTCTATAGCTTCAGCCTTTCCTCAAAAAAAATAATACAATCACGTTAATTTATTTGCATAGCAATTACTCCAGGAATGATCGAATTTGACAAAAGTTGTTGAAGCAACCAACTAAACTTAAATGGTTACACTTTCAAAAAAAGAGTCAGAAAGATATTAAAGATTTGAAACATAATATTTGTATCATTATCTCTCTAGTATGAAATTGTATTCTCCTGTCATTTTTCCGGTGGTTTTCCGTGTTCCTCAATTATAATTATATTTTCTTTTAGTATGCCTCAGTCATTTACTTAGTTAGCTTTTTGTCATTTCTCAAAATTTGCCAAACTTTGACAACATTGATTTCGAACACCTTATTTATATTTCTTTTTTTCAAACCTCCTAACCAGTTATGAAACAAAAACCATTTGATCACTTGATGCATAATTTGGCGAACAGACCATCTATAATCTAATACAAATGTACGGTTTTTTATTATCTTGAATATAATTGGTTTAAATGAAATAAAAATTCTAACTATTGGTAATTGTTTAAATTAAATGCATCGGGTGAAAGTAACAAATTATGCATGCATTGATGTTGATGTGTGCTTGAAATGGTTAAAAAATAAATAAATTACAAATTCAATCTTTTATTCCAAAACATTTATTCGGGCCGACAGTTTTAAAGCTCTTAATCTAAAAATCTTCCAACAATCATCTAAAATTTTTTCAGCAATATAATCTTTAGAATGCTTGGCTCGTCCAATTATTCGAGAACGATGTATTAAAAAAGGGAAGGCATGAAGGATATAAAGAGCAAATAGACAAAATCCATGCGTGTTGTTGAATTTAAAAGTTTTAATAAACAAATACATATGTGGAGAAAAAAATACGAAGAAAAATAAGAACATTAGTAATTCAGCCTTATCAAAAAACGAAATTTATCGTTTATATATATGTCAATACTTTATATTTTTAATATTCTTAAAAGATTTAATGTTATGTTATATTATTTATTATTATTATTATTATTATTATTATTATTATTATTATTATTATTATTATTTATTATTATTATTATTATTATTATTATTATTATTATTATTATTATTTATTATTATTATTATTGTTATTATTTAAAATACAGTCAGACCCATCTCCTCTAAAATGCGTAATTACATATAACTGGGACTTAGCCTCTAAAATGCATATTGTCCTTTAAATGCATACTATACAGTGGTCCCGACAGTATGCACTTAGAGGCGTTTGACTGTATATGGTAATCACGACAATCGGAACATAAGAAAAATTAGGTAATGAAAAGGCTTTTTTTTATGAAAAATAATTGAGAATCTCATCTCATAATATACGTAAACCGAACCAATTAAATAATCTTCTTGATTTCAAATTATATCGGGCAACGTTTCTGTTAGAGAGATTTGTCACAAATAAAAACATTAAATTTCCCGTTTTTATCCTGAGAGATTGTTGGTTTACTTTGAGATTATAAAATAGATGTATGCTTCATTCCGAAGAATCAAAGAATTAAAACGCAAAGATAAGAAAGAAAAGATGCTGTTAGATTCCAATTCAAGAAAAGAGTTTCGTTATCATTCATGAAAAATGTTTCGGTGGGAACGCCAAACAACAATATGAATATTGTCTTTATTCATGAGGTTCACACGTATTTTTATTTTACTTGAAATAATTTGCATGCAATTCTTTGTAGCGAAATTTAACGTTTTAATTATTCAGCTGAATGACAATAAATAAGGAAAATAGAAACGAACAGATACACACGCGCACAAAAGAAAGAAAACGATTGCACACACAAAAAACCATCACACGAAAAATGATTCATACAGTATCGCACCACGAAAAAGTGTTTATTGTTACGCCTTATATGGGATAGATAGACAGTTATGTATATATACATATTTAAACGGGGGAGTAAAATTTCTTTAGAGGACTGGCTATACTGTGCATAGCACATATAAACTCTCTTCTGTCATATGTATGCACTTATAGATAAAGACACATGCATTTTCATTGTTCTCTCTTTGTGATTCAAACAACAGTTTTTAATTTCGGGATAAACGCAACGGTAACTTATAAATGTCCAAGTTAATCGAGTTTAAACACTCGTCAATTAGAAAAACTCCTTGAATTATACACTCAAAGGGACCAACGCATTATCTTATGCACTTATGAGCTGTTAAGCAGAATTTTCCCATTGACTTATAAAAAAAATGGACTTAGGCGAAGGATGCATCAAAAGCAAATGCACATGTGAAATAATGATGTAATTTTTTTTTGCTCCCCCGCCCAATTGTAAATATTTTGCATCTGAGCAAAAAAAAAAAAACATTAACTCGACGCTGCCAAGTATTAACATTATGCACCGATTTTATCATACAGTGATTATACCGTTTGTAATGTTACAATGTCCACAATAATAAACCGTTTTTTATTAAAATAAAATAATATAATATATTATTCATCATACTGCATGATGTATAAAATTTGTTATGATTCATTACTGGCAAGTTATTACTACATGTATATGATCAAGAAGCGATAAATAGATCCTATGGGTAACTCGAATTATTTTATTAGATGAAATCTTTATTTCACGACCTTTACCTCTCGTCTAATCTCATACTAGGATATGTCTCCTAGAGTGGGACCGACATTTATAAAATTACCAATGGCATTCATTACCTCCACTTCAAATTTTCTTTGTACGATGAAATAAAAAACCCATAACCATGAACGAGTAATCCTCCGCTTGACGTTTCTCTGCGAGTTTTGATGATCGAACACAATTGTTAAGGAACATATAGGTTGTTTCTCTATCTATCTGCCGAGTCATACGTTGTTAATTACGCGCCCGACAATTAAAACAAAACGCTCAAAGTTCGAGGAATTCATCCCGCTACATCATTTTGTTACATTTCTACCGAGACCAAAACCGACTTCGAAAGATAAAATAATTCCGCCGCCATTCATGAAATATATCAATCCATCCATGAATCAATCGTCAACCCAAAATGCCACGCAAAGATGGTTACGAAATCATTGTTACACTTCGTAATTGTAACACGAGAGCCTAAAATCATGTAGGTTTTTAATAAATTAGTTATCCTCTAAAATATTTGCCGATATAAACTAAACGTTGTAAAAGCAAAAAATTTTCATAATAAACTGATGCTAGATGACTTCTTAGATGCGTTCACTAATACATTACTATGTTTAATATTAGAAAAATTGAATTCCCGAAGTTCCTCAAAATCAAAATAAGGCACCGTCGAAGTCAGCTACTTGCGATTTTAGTTTTGAGCTTGGTGGAAATGAAACAAAATGGGATAGCAGAATGAGTTCTTCGATCTTTGTGAGTTTTGTTTTAACTTATCTATCGCGTGATTGATGACGTACGGCCCAGCAGATGAAAGTGAAACAATTCCATATCACTTCCTTAGCGATTGTGTTCAATTTACCGAGACGATTGTATTACTCGGGAGAAGATTACTCGTCTTGAAGATTTGATCTTTTTTAATCATTAATTCCAATTACATGTATATTAATAATGTACTTATAAATATCTAAGAAACATGACAAAACTAATTAAATAGGTGCCACATGCATGTAAAATTATGTAATTTGTCATAGCGAATCTGATGTCTTCCTCCTCAGATATCGAAATTAATAAAAGTCAAAGATCTTAAGATGTAAAAACACTCGACGGATGAATTGAATCGGTCAACTATGGTTAAACATAGTCAACTATAATCAGCCAATTTGCATAGCTACCGTATATGCCCGAAAATAAGCAACTTTCCGTTTTAGACCCAAGGCCCGAAAATAAGAAACTTTATATTTGAAATCAGTTTTAAAAAAACGTTTAGTTAGCGTCAAAATTATCTACAAAAACAATCACATTCCCATTCTCTTTTACGATATCATTCTCATCCATTACATCTGTATCACTCTCGTCCATTACACATATATCATTTTCGTTCATTTCTGCATCACTTTCATTACCACTTTCTGTATTGACGAACTCAGTAAAATCTCATTATCCTCCGACCCATCAACACTTCTGAAATGCCTCTGAATAATTTCTGGGCTTATTTCATCCCAGGCAGCAAGAACCCACTCACACACTGTACGTAAGCTTGCACGTTTCAGGTTTCCACCTGCTGTTTCTCCAGCTCTATCACTTGCTATCCATGTATGCCAATAACGACGAAGGGCAGCTTTGAAAGGGCAGTTGATGGAAACATCCAATGGTTGACATAGTGATGCGAGACCACCCGGAATAACAACAAGATCGATAATATTTTTTTTCATCTCTTTTTTGATGTCGTCTGTAAGGTGTGCTTTGAAAGAATCATAAACAAGTAATGCAGGTGCTTTGTTGTGATCATCTGGTCGTTTTCTTGCAAAATCATGAGTCCAATTTATCATTCCTTCTTCATCCATCCAGCCTTTTTCGTGAAACAAGATGTTGATGTTAGGAGGTGGTGGTGGTGTATTTTTAGTACTGGACATTTCTTGCCTTTAAAGATAATGGTTGGGGGAAGTTTCCGACCATCAGCGAAACATGTAAGAGTGACTGTGAAGCGATTTTTATCATTGCCCGTAGTGCGAATGTGAACTGTTTTTTTGCCGATTGTTTCAATCGGCTATATCAAACCACACAGAAGTCTCATCCATATTTGTGATATGGCTAAGTGGAAAATTTTTGTGACGACGTAGACCAATTACATAGCGTTGAAAATCAAGTAATTTTTTTTAGGCAATTTTTTGTTTTACAGCGAAGGGTAAGGTTATGCTGGCACAAAAAACATTTGAGCCAATGTGAGGATGCTTTGAAGTTGCTGGCAATAAGTTTTTCATCAAGTCATCTGTATCGGTAGCAGTTTGACTAACAATGTTTGACATTTCAATCTTAAGACTATGTAGATAATGGCCAAGGCAGCCTCACGCATTTGAAGAACCCAAGCGTAAAGTTGTTCTTCCTCAGCAGGGAAAAGTTCTTTTCCACCAGCGCCAACGCGACGAGACTTGCGGTTTTTGAGGTCGTCAAATTAAGTTTGTAAATTTTTCACCCATCTGCTAACCAGACTCTTGTCAACACTGAAGTGGGCTGCAGCTTTAGTATTATTCGAAGCAAGCGCAAAACGAACAACAGCAGCCTTTTCCTCGACAGAATATGACTATCTTTCGCCCTTTTTTACACGCGTCATGCTAGATACATATCACGCAAGTCAGATTTTCATTTTTGATTGGAGAAAAAAATGATATCACACAAAGCCTCGAAAATAAGCAACACCCCTGATTTAGATTCTCAAGTGCATTTTTGGGTTGCTTATTTTCGGGAATATACGGTATTTTATTTAACTAAGGCTCCATCAAGCAATGTCCGAAGGAAAATCCTCCGGTTGCCATTAAGTCCCATTAATCCGAAGACCCGTATAAACTCTATTTCCGCCCAAACTCTTTTAATGCCTACAATGGTTGCATGTTTACTCGTATCTGCTTCTGATGCAGACTTTATAACAATCTTGTTAAATAGTAATCCGCGAGCGGTCAGCACCAAATTATTTAATTATTACTTAATTAAATATGTTGCTGCTATTGAATCTGCTGTGACTTATTTTTAATGAACAAATAACTCAAAATTTAATAGTAACAACAACAGATTCAAACGTAGCAGCAATAGCTTTAAAACTCATTATAATATTATTATACTTGGTGTTGATTATTGCGAATTACATGTACTACTTACAATGATACCGGAAATTATTTGGTGTTCCAGCTGAGTCTGCTTTTATCGGGCTTACAGACAAGATATTAACACGAGTGAAAACGTGAAACTATCTCAAAGGTCGATTTTTTCAGTTTTGACCTCAAAAAAATATTTAATTTTTAAATCACGTTTTCTCGGAAACTGGTGATCCAATCATTTTATTTTTTTTATTTAAAATAATAATAATACAAGTTTCGAACGATATATAAATTAATAATTTATTCGTTCGTCATTCTCCCTAATTATCGCCTCACATCTCCCTGACACCGAATTGACTAAAGATTCTAATATCTCGTCTGGGATTCGTTCCCATTCCTCGACCATAAACATTTCCAACTCCTCCAAATCTTTTGGACTCCGTTCCCCCACGTTT